GAAGCACCAAAAGTTCCACAGGAACTTCAGGAAAAATCCCTTCCCAGTGAGGGTGCCAGAGCCCTGGAACAGGCTGCCCAGAGAGGTTGTGGAGTCTCCTTCTCTGGAGATCTTCAAACCTGCTTGGCCGCAGCCCTGTGCCACGTGCTCTAGGTGACCCTGCGTGTGCAGGGGGCTGCACTGGATGATCCCTAGAGCTCCCTTCCAACCTCAACCATTCAATGACTCTATGATTCTATGAGGGACCACGGAGCTTTTTCTGGAAGGTTTCCGGAGTGCCCCCACGCGCAGCCCTGGCGCTGGGCAGGGGCTCTGAGGTGGCTCCCCGTGCTCCGGAGCCCTCGGTCAGCGCCGCTCCTTGTTCCAGAGCGTGCGGCGGCTGCTGCAGAACCCCAAGGTGACGGAGCTGGACGCGGCGCGCCTCGTGATGCTCTACGCGCTGCACTACGAGCGGCACAGCAGCAGCGGCCTGCCCGGCCTGCTCGCCGACCTCAGGAACCGGGGCGTCCCGGAGAAGTACCGCAAGGTAACCGTGGCGCTCCGAGCGCGTACGCGGCGGGAAGAGCCGGGAATCCATCCTGAGGAGCCGCGAGCCGCTCCTGCGTTGTGTCCAACAGCACCACGACCTGCAGTCGTGGCCTTCAGCACGTTGCCTCTCTCCCTCCTCCCCATCTCCCTTTCCCCCGGCTCCTGCTGCTGCTCCATAGGCAGTAGTTGCAGCAAGGGGCTTTAGGAGGCTGTAAATGGGAGAGGGTGGCAGTGCTTGGCAAATGCATGGAGCAGCTGGAGAGGAGGTGGAGGCACGGAATGATGGAACGTTGTATGACAGGTTTGCTACCACTGCAACAGGCCATGGAAATGAAAGCCCTTCTTCTGCAGGCAGTGTCTGCCTTGCTTGGTGCATACGGGACTATTCTGTCTTTATTCCCTGTCTCTATATTGCAGTGTGTGCTTGGGACTGACCTCCTGGCTCTGTGGTCGTCGTTTCAGTACCTCCGTTGAGCCTCAGTGGGCAGTAACTCCCTGTAAGCTGCTTCCCGGGCTCATGGGATTTTGTTCCTGCCTCTCTGTACAGCTGGTGTCTGCCGTGGTGGAGTACGGAGGGAAACGGGTGCGGGGCAGTGACCTGTTCAGTCCCAAGGACGCTGTAGCCATCACCAAACAGTTCTTCAAAGGGCTGAAGGTAAGGCCACGTCAGGATCAGGGGGTAAATAACAACAGCCGGAATCACAGTGAGGGAGCAGGGCTCACGTGCAAAGCAGGGCCACCTCTTGTGGCTTTCGGAGGTTTAAGAGTAACTGCCTAGACATTTGGGGCATAATTCTTATGAAAGACACAGGGTGCTGAAAAGCACCTCTATAAACGCTTGCCGTATCCATTGGATGCTGTAGCCCTTGGAACGTGGCTTTGCTGATGCCTTCCTCGCTGTGCGGACCCGTAACAAGAGCCTCTCTTTGCACTGCAGGGTGTTGAGAATGTCTACACGCAGCACCAGCCTCTCCTGCAAGAAACACTAGATCAGCTCATCAAAGGGAAGCTCAAGGACAGCCAGTACCCCTACCTGGGTCCCACCACGCTCCGTGACAGGTATGTGAGGCCTTTCAGGACGCTGGTGGGAAGTGCAATGTAGCTGCTCTCCACAATTCTGCTTCGTGGGGTGGTTTTTATGGGTGAACAAAGCTTAGGCTTGTCAGAGCCTTCACTGAGCCACACACCTTCACTGTGTGGATCTTTTTTGTTACTCTCAAATAGATGTCAGAGAGAGGGCTAAGGAGACTGAAAGAGCATTCTCTGTGTTCAATGCTGGTCAAGACACAACTTTGCCATTTTAAAAGCTTAGGTAAAGGATAAAGGCGCTGCACCGAACTGCGAGGAGAACATCACGTGGTAGATGTTCACCATGCCCTCTAACTTCATTCCATGCCATCTGGCGTTTATTTGTAGAGAACCCAAAATAGTCCAACTGCTAACGCTGCCTTCTGAGCCAGTTACTATTTCTGATGAGAATGGGATCTTGCTGAATATGGTTAATAACTGTAATTGCAAAGGACTCTGGCTGTCTGGTTAAGCTGCCTTTGCTGGAGCTCTGCTAATCTGTCGGCAACAAAGTCATTAGAGAAGCACGAGCCACAAAACGAGGGCACAAAACGGGCAGAGAAAGGAGGCTGGGTCTTTCCCGGTGACATTCCGTACAAATCACTCCCTCCTTTGGTTCCTCTGCTTCCTTTCTGGAAATGGAGCTCAGCTGCAACGTGGTGTTTCTCACTCCTGCTAGCCACGGTCCCGGGGAGGCCATCCCAGCAGCTCTCTGTCTTCTCGAATGTTTGCGAATTCTCCAGGGTTTGGAGCAAGCAGGTTTTACTTGCAGTATTAGAACAATCATTATTCCCTTCCCACGCTGAGTATTATTATTATTACTAATAATACTTTTTTATCAGCAGCTGCCACATTTCTTGGTGAGGCAGAAAATAAATGCAAGGTAGTGATAGTAATTCTCAACAAATGAGGTGGCTGTTGCTGGGCAGTCTGGGTTCAGTGAGAACTGCAGAAACCTTTGGAGCAGGGGAGAGGCAGCCTGGAGGAGCAGGGTTAGAATCATAGGATCATGGAATGCTGAAGGTTGGAAGGGAGCTCTAGGGATCATCCAGTGCAGCCCCCTGCACACGCAGGGTCACCTAGAGCACGTGGCACAGGGCTGCGGCCAAGCGGGTTTGAAGATCTCCAGAGAAGGAGACTCCACAACCTCTCTGGCCAGCCTGTTCCGGGGCTCTGGCACCCTCCAGAAATTCCAGGCGCTGGGAAGGACGGCAACGCGTCGGAGAGGCTCCACTCGCTCCCTTCCTTCCTCAGCCCTGCCCTGGGCGTTGTGATCCGCCTGATCCAACCCGAACGTGCCCTTCCTCACAGGGAGGCGTCCAAATTCCGTGCCAGGCTGCCAGCAGGGTGCATTCATCATTTTATTTATGGATAAGGAAAGAATTGTAGTCATACAAGAGACAATTTGTTTGTGTGTGTCCCTTACATAGCAGAAAATATCTTCCTTACTCCAGATTTTCCCTTTAAAAATAAAACGGTGGATTTTGGACAGGGTGGTTTTGGTAGACATGAAATATCAAGGCCTCTACAAATAAGAGTCTGGTGACCCTAGCACTTGCTTTTTGCATTTCCCACTGTGTTCTCTGGAGTCACATTTCACTTGGATTTCCCCTTACATGCTGTCCACAAAAGGGCACAGGAATCCCCCCATGGAAATTCTCCTATGAGGAACATGCAAGGAATTTATTTAGGAAAGCACATGATGGATTTCATGTCTAACTCAGAACTGAAGCAAAATGGAGACTGGATGAAGGAAAATTAAGTTTCTTCCTCCTCCCCTTCTCCACAGCAGTTGAGTCCTGTATTTTGGTAAAACAGATCTCAAAAGACAAAAGCAGAGCTGCCAAATCCTCCTTTCTCCTTCACTACTCAGCCTTCCTTGGGATTGTCCTTGGCACCATGGCAGAGCCCAGAAATGCTGCTGCTGGGTCAGAGTTCTGCAAAACTGGCCTAAATTTTGGCCTTCATTGGTGTGTTGATGTTCAAAAGCACAAGGGCACGTGGTTATCAGAGCGCTCCGTTACTAGGAATGGTAACTCCGGTCGCGTTCCAGACACAGGAGCTGTAGGAATCAGAGATCTGGTAGCTTTGACCGGGAGGAAAAAGCAAACATTTAGATAATTTTGCATCTGGTCATTATTTGCTGCATAAAATGTGGGCTGCAGCTATGTGCTACCTCAGGAGCGTGAATATTTGGTGTCATGAAAACAAGGGCTCATCTAAAAATTGGTTTTAATTTTCCGATTTGGAAAAAAAAAATCCCACCTAATTTATTAATGGCTTAGCCTTATTGCCAAGTAAATTGAGAAATTTAAATTCATTAATTTCCTCAAACTGAGGATAATAAATGGCAGCAAACCAGGCTGCAGTGTCGTGTTTCTCTCCGAGCTGGTGCTGCAGTGACTGGCAGGGGCTCAGCAGAAGGGCAGGGTGAAAGGCTTTGTATTTTATGATCAAAGGGAGGCAGTTGCTTGAACAGCAAAGAATTTGAAAAGCCTCTTTTTAACTATTTCTTTCTGTATTAAACACTACGCTCTTGCGAGGGAGGAGAAGAGCTCACGGTCCAACTGCAACTGTGAAAATTGGCAGCAGTGCAGGAAAGGGAGTCTTTGCAAAGCACTGAGCAGGGCTCCTAGCAGAGAGCAACAAGCAGTTCTGCTTTTCCTGCTTCTCCTTGATTTCCTGCTGTGTTAAATATCATCCTTTCTGGGTTGCTGCGAGCCGGGGCTCCCCTCCACTTTGCTGCTGGGATGTTCTAGGCAGAAGAGCTCCTCCAGTTTTTTGGTGCGCGTGGAGCCCTGGCCACAGCTCTGCTTCGTTCCTGCTTTGGCCTGGGAACCTCCTGAAGGGGGATGTGAAACAGCAGTGGAGAAATCCGCACTGCTCCTTGCAGATCCACACGGGATCTGTGTCATTCCGTGTCTCTAAGGTACCATAATTAGTTACCTGCTCGTTGAAAAATCTCAGAAGTTTCCTAGTTCAAACAGCCATCGAAGCCTAAAAGCCCTGGAGTGAGAATCCCTGGAAATGGGCTCATCTAGAGCAGTGGGCCCTGCAGGGACCCCATGGGCCTGATCTTTGTCCCGCCGGCTTTCCAAAGGGAAAGCTGCTTTGGATTGCTCGAGCAGAGGAAGAATTTGGAAGCAGCTGACTGCTTAGAAATGCCTCTAGTTGTCACACGTCCAAAGGGATGGGTAAGGTATCTCCGTAGCATAGAAAAAATCTCCTTTTTTGGAAGCATCAGCTCGCAGCATGTGTTGTGGAACCATTTGGCTATATGCGCTTGCATGCGAGCTCACACACACTGCCCTAGACTGCATGGAACTCGGAGTCATTCCTCAGCTGTACGTAGTACCTTCTGTTTAGATTTGTGTTTTGTGAGCTGCTGCCTTTTTGTAAATTAAAGCTCTGCCCATGTCCTTGTTTGTTCAGGGCTGTTTCTCATTCTCTGAAACGTTTGAGCATTCAGCTCTTAAGCTGGTAGTTGACCCAAGGGGACAGCCACCCGTGCAGCTTGTGAGGAGCACAACGGCCGGAGGGCTCCCCACGAATCCCCCACCAGTCTTGGCGTTTCTTCCCGTTCCAACACTGCTTATTGCTTGCCCTGATAGAAACAGTAATTCCCCGGGGACGCTGAGAACACCAAGTTGCCCTTGTCCCAGGTTAGCTCCATGCAGGAGCTTTTCCTGCCTGTGGCACGAAGTCTCACAGGAACGACTGGTTCAGTTTGCGGCACAGCAGGCCCTTGGCTAGCTCCGTTTGGGTTATTCTTCCCTCTGCACTTCTCTGTTTGGGTATATTACACCTCTGCTGAGCACTGAGGGCGGTTATCACATTATTGCTGGACCTCCCCCTCGGTTTCCATCCCGTAAAGACTCGGGCACGTCTGCAGCCCGTTCCTGGAGGGCTCTGAGGCTCGCGGAGGAGACGAGGCGCAGCCGGCTCCTGTCCTGGCCTCCCGGGCTTGCTCGGAGCCCTGCTGCTCACCGGGGTGCCGGAGCCTTCGTGTGGGGCCTGCATTCCCCCCCGCTGATCTTAAGGCTGCAGCTCCTGTCCCTGCTCCTGCCCGGGACACCGGGCACCTCTCCGGGGAGGGATGGGGACACAGGATTCCGGGTGTCTGGAGCCAGCCCGGGCTGTCACTGGGACTTCTTTGTTACGGGATTAGCAGTGCTGTGTGTCCCCAGGGACCTGCTGGGCCCCCGGTCCCACGTGGGCCTCCCCTACACGGAGGAGGCTCCGGGTGACTCTAAAGCAGCTCCCAAGTCCCCCTTTGCGTGCTCAGATCCAGAACTAACCCCAGCTTTCAGAACAGCCCTACGATTCGGAAGGTTACTGGTAACAAAGATGGCTTTGAAATAGCGGCCTTGACCGTTTCCGTTGCTTGTTCTTACCTTTTTGCGTGGCTTCATGGCAGATGTTTGTGTTCAAAGCCAGGGTCTCCTCCTGAGAGTGGAAGCGGTTTTGCCCTTGACTCTCTTCAGCGCTAGCAAAGGAGAAGCCCTGGTGCTCCGTGTCCTGGTGCCAGCATGGTCCTTGGGATGGTGGCGGGTGCCAGGGCGGCCGGTGCGTTCCGGGGTCATCCCTGCCTCCCGCTGCTCTGCGGAGCTTGGACTTGGGTGCAGAGCAGGGATCCGCTTTGGGACTGTCACGGCAAGTTAATGCTGTTGGGGCTCGACTGCTCTCCAAGCGCTGCAGCGTGAGCAGGGGGTGTTACGCGACTGACAGAATGAGATCCAGGCCTTGCTGCTGCGGATCCTCCAGAAATTGCTCTTCCTACTCCTGGAGCTGATTCCTGGGCCGCAAGCCCAGAATTCTGGGCTTTCTGCTGTCCATTCTGCCGTCCCGAAGGGCGAAGAATTAAGTGGCTGGGGAATTAAGAATTAAGGCCCTGAAAGCAGGGCTTGCAGGGCACGCGTCTGCTCTTGTGTTTCGGCGCTTCCCTCCCTCCTGGCCCTTGTGCTCCCTGTCTGGAACATCCTGCCTTCCTAGGCTGCTCAGGGGCTGTAACCTCGGAGGGGAACTTGGGCACAAGCCTCACCAGCTCCGTAATCAAACAGGGAAACTGCAGCTGATCCGCGCTCTTCCCGCCAAGCCCGAGAGGTCTCAAGCGCCGCTGTTGTCCTCGCTTGACTCCTGAATTGATCTTAATTTAACAGCCGCAGCAGTGTCTGGGTCATGCATTAAACATTGGTGGATGTGTCATGCTGGAGCTCCGCAGGGATGCGGGTGGGTGTTGCAGGGAGGCTTTTACGGACCGGTAGCGCCTCGTGTAAATGTTTAGGACAGACACTGTTTTAAAAGTGATTTAATGAGCTACACGTTTTTGTCAGTCGTCAGCCTAAAGCAGCACAGAAATGGGACAGTCCGGGGAGAGACATCAGCTGGCTGCTTGTCGCAGACCCGCACGGGAGCCTGTGTGTTTTTCTGATCTACTTTCAACATTTGTGTCTTGGCTGCAGGCCCCAAGATATTATTGTGTTTATCATCGGAGGAGCAACGTACGAGGAGGCGCTGACTGTGTATAACCTGAACCGCACCACGCCGGGCGTCCGCATCATCCTCGGCGGGACCACGATCCACAACACCAAGAGGTAAGAACAGGTCCTTACCAGGGATATAAAGCCGCCACCGTGGGGGTGAGCTGTGGTGCCCAAGGGATCTTCCTTGTGCAGTAAATCACACAAACGGCTGTGAGCGAGCCGGGCTCTGCGCGTTACGGCTCAGGGACACGTTATCGAGCTGCAGCGTTAACGTGCGCTGCGCTGAATTCAAGGGCAGGGAGGTAGATGCTGCTTTTCCTGCTTATAATTCCCTGCACGCCTCAGTGTGAGCGAGGGGCCAGCGTGGCGTGCAGGAATTCAGACCTGACTGCGGTCGCAGTCGGAGCAACCGCGTCTGATCATGGTGAAGCTGCCGTTCCTGTGACTGGAACCGAGTCCTGCGATGAAAACGCGAGCGGGCTCCGGCGCCCGCGGTCTGGGCTGCGTCCTGCATCGCTCCACGGAGCAAGGAACCGCTCGTGCCGATCAGCACCACGATGCCGACCGCGGGCATCGCCCCCCAGTACCGTGAGCGCTGCGGGAGCGCCGGGCACCCCGAGCTGCTCTGCTTTCCTTGGCCGCTGTCCCCACAGCGTCCCCACAGTGTCCCCACAGCGTCGCAGGTGGCTGAAGGTGTCAGCAGTGCTGGGGAGGTTTCACTTCCCTGAGCTGAACACGGGTGTCGCGGGATTCATAGCAAGGTGGAAAGCTTGGCTGTGTTGGGCCCCAAATCCCCATCAATGCAGAAGGCCGGGTTTATTTCCTACGGAATGCCTGGTTTCTAAGTACCAAACCCAAACTGGGGTTATTCAGCTGAGCATCTCGGCGCAGGTGCAAATTCAGGCTGTGCGTTAGGGCTGTTTCCAGCCAGCGTGGTTTCCTGCCAGCCGAGCAACCACCCCGAATTCTTTCCATGCTTTCCCTGCTCTTCCTCAGCGTGTTGTTCTCTGCCCTTCCGAAGGATCATGTTGTGGCCAGGAGCTGCCTGTTGATTGGAAGGAGGGTGACGTTGGGAATGTGACAGGTGACCCACGTCTCTCCCATGTGTTGCAGCAGGAAGCGGGATGAAATCTAAGACCCGGGAGAGCCCCTGGAGTTGTCCAGCAGCTGCTCAGAGCTTAAAGGGCGCGTTGGGCTCCAAGCTGCAGTAGGAGAGCTTCAACCTTCCCGAGCAGAAATGCAGATACGTGCAGCAGGGAGAAGTGACGGTTTCCAGCATTCAGGATGAGGTTTTCAGAGCAGATTTAGAGCTCTGGGTGCCTCCCCAAGGGGGAACACAGCACTGACCTGCCAGGCTGGGACACCCCAGCTGTCCAGCCCTTCCTTCATCTCGCTCTCTGGCAGGTGGACTCCCATGTAGGCTAAAATCCCGCTTGGTTTTCGGGCTTTCTCTTCCTTTAAGAAGTCCCTGCAGTTTTCCCCTCCTTGTCATGCCCATAAAGGACCTCCAGGGTGCCAAGCTGGCTGCACACAGGTAATAACAGCAGCCTCACAAGGCAATGCAGTGGTTCCTATGCTCGCTGCCCTCTCCGAAATTCAGCCTTTGCTCTGGCTTAACAGCAGATGATTGGAAAGCTCCTGAACCGGTGCCATCCCAGCAGCAAATTGCTTCCATGAACTAGGTTACAAAGGCAAATCTGTCTTAGCCCACATATCGACCAATTTCTGCGCAAATTACCCAGCTTCCCCAACCTTCTGCTTCACAAAGTAGCCTTTGGACTAAATCCCGTTTCAGCCAGGCCTACAAATAGTAAGAATCACATCACAAAGATGAGGAAAAGGAACAAGGTGTTGAATACATCGTCGTCTGCAAGGATGGCCCTTGAGGTTTGGGCAACTCTGGTGCCTCTTTACACCTTAAGGCTTTTAGCAGGGACTGCCTCTCGCTCCTGCTGTAGGAATGACAGAATTTGGAGCCACCCTGTTGGGCCCCATTTCTTAGATTTGTGCCGTAATGAGTAACATTAGCTAGTTAGGGCTTCTACCGTGACTAGGTTTTGGCGCAGTCTCTGAATTATTTACGGAAAAACTAGGATACTGTATCAGAATTTGCATTTCAAAGGATGAAGTTTAAAAGCCCCAGCAGGGCAGGGGAAAGGCTGTTGTTTTTGGAGCACGGGTTACTCCGCGCTCCTGCGGGACGAGATGTGCCGAGGTTCCCCTCCTGGGAGCAGCCTGGCTTGGCTCTTCCCTGCCGGATTGGCTTTCCATGGGGCTCGAGGGAGCTCCCGGGAGCGGCGCCGGGGCCAAGGGAAGAGCCGGCGGCGTCGGGGTTAACGGTGGCGGTGCACGAGGATCGTGTCTCGTTCAGCAGACGCATCTGAGGGCTCCGATGTGAGATTTTATTGCATCCTAACTCCCCTGGTAATCCGCCGGCCTTCCTTTAATGAACTGTTGCTTATTTCTGCTGGATTAGGGTTGATATCTCTCAATAAACAAGGAGATTTTTGTATTAATGCTCTGCGCAGCCCGTGTAAGCGCGCTAATCCCGGGCTTTCGTTGTTCCTGCGGGTCCAAGCCCAACTGGGTGAGCAGCAGCTGTGCTTACGGAGCGGGACACGGCTTATGGGGTGCCCATCCGGCTGGTTCCTGGCACGGGAGACAACCAGGGCTGCTCCCGGCGCTCGTTACGGACTCATAGGGAAGCTCCATGTGCACCAGACGCACCGTAAGGGCTTGTTCCCAACGGAGCTCTCGGCGCGGGTGCAGGAGGTGCCCGCACCAAGTTCCCTCATGCTGCTCGGGGATGCCAAGCGGAATTTGGCCCTGCTGATCCTCATGGATTTATATCCATGTACAGGCAAAATGTGATTTTTATCTGGAATTGTGTGTGCTCAGTCCTGCTCCAGACCAGGCCCTAAGTCTGGCCCACGGCAGTTTTTATGTCAGTTCTTTTATTCCCCCATTCCCGTTAACCAGCAGCCCCCTCCCTGCTGACTGTATGGGAGCATGAGGACATCCATTTGCTAAAGCTTGGAATCCCTTGAGAAACGCCAGCAGGGTGAAAAAAAAACCTGTTGTTTTCAAAGAATTTTCAGTGTTTTTCAATCAAACCAGCTTGGCCACCTCTATTTTTGAAATTTTGCAGCCCTACTGAGCATACTTGTATTGTGACTTGATTATCACAAAGGTAAGAGCCTGCCCAGATGTGTTTTCCTGCACAAAGAGCAGGGCCAGCCTATGGGAATTGAAATGCCCCATCTGCCCCTTAATGAAATCCCTCTCTCAGGGCCTTGTGGGGAGGATTAAGTTTCCAGCAATTCCTTTGCTTCCAGTCCCATGGACAACTGGCTCTTCCTGCACTGCCTAACGGATATTGGGGCCGTTCTTGCGGCTTTGCAGGAGGAGGGATTAAAAAATGATCAATAATTGGCTAAAAAGGGAAGACCAAGAGGAACAAGCTGGTGCTTGGGGTGATGTGGGCAGAGCACAGGTTAAGCACAAACCTGCTGTGACTAATCCCAGGGGCTGCCCCACTTACAGGGTACAGGGATAGGGGGTTGCACCCGGCGCGGCTGGGTCTGCTGCCCACTCTGGAGACCTCGGAGCGCGAAGGGATGGGTTGGAGCACCAACACGCTGCCTCTCCCCCTGCAAAATAAAGAGGAGTCTCCTTTAAAATAAAAGCAAGTCATTCTCTGCTCCAAGCTCAGCCTGCCTGGCTCTAACGCCTATAAATAAAGCAGGAGGAGGGCGGGCGCGGGGCTGGCATCGGCGCTGCCCGGCCCCGGGCAGGTCCGGCTCCTCCAGCACCGCCTGGGAACGGGGCCGCTGCCCTCGCCCGGTGTGAGCAGGGCTGGGAAGGCGTTTCCGGAGCTTTGCTTGGCAGGGTTGACCCGTTTCAGACCTATTTTAGGGGAATCACGTTTTTGTAGGATTTTTTTTTTCCTTTTTTAAGCATTAACGTTTGGTTAACTCACTCAGCATCCCGAAGGAATGAGTCAACCTGGAAGCGGGTCGCGCCGTGAGCAGGGCCCAGTAACCCTCCTCCAGCACCAGGTCCTCGCTGGCTCCGGGGGCCGCAGCGCTGGGGAGTCTCAAACCTTAACCCACTTGTAGAGCTCTTCAAACAACGGCGTTCCCAAGCTGCCGGCTCCCACCTCCCGGATTAGGTTTGTGGAGCAGGGCCAGGGCAGCTGGAAGGGGAGCCTGGAGCAGCTGCCCCGGCAGACGCCCCTCGTCCTGCCCCGCGCTCCCCTCCACCGGGCAGCAAATGGCCCGTGGAAGCCGGGACACCAAAACGCTGCGGCGTTCCAGGCAGGAAAACGGCCTCCAAAGCCTCTCGGTGGCAGAACAGGTGCCGCTCGTCTCGCAGCCGTGTCGAGGTGGAATCCCTTGCGCCGCTTTAGCGGTATCACCTCTTCCGCGGGGGTTTTATTGCAAAGTGGTTCAGCCCTTCCAGTGTGGCCCTGGATGCTCAGTGCCCGCAGGTCCCCGTGTCACGTTCCGGGTTGAATGACAATTTTCCAGAGGACAGGCTAGAAGGGCAGGGGGGGACGTGCTTGGGACGCGGCTTGTGCAGCCAGGCCAAGGAGCAGGCGAGTCCCGGAGCGGGGACGAGGGGCTGCCGACCCGAGCGCCGGTAACGTGTCCAGGACGCCTCGGCGGGCGGTTTCCACCCTGCCCCTTCCTGCCTCCTCATCCTCACAGGAAGGCTGCGAGGGAGCACAAAACCAAGCCCAGGCGCTGCCTTTCCTGGCTTTGTTCCTGCACGGAGCGGGCTTGCCAGGACGCGCAGGTGCTGAACTCAGGCTGGGAGGAACCGTTGTCCCTGATTGCGACTGGTTTCAGCATAGGTTGGGATAAATTTATATAAAAAAATACTGAATATCATGGTGTTTGTGACAACAGACACTGCACTTAACAATTGGGGTGTCCCTTCAGTCCTATTTGCTGTGATTCCATGATTTGGGAGCCCTGCAGTTCACGGCGTGGGGAGGGGAGAGATGAGCGCCCAGCCCCAGTGCGAATGGCTGTTGAGCGAAGGGAGAGCGGGTGACCCGTGCCCAGGTTTGTCCCTGCAGTCCCCCTGCTTTGTGCTTTGCTCCATTAGGAAACACATCCCGGCAGGGGCGAGGATCCCTCGGGAAGGTGGGAGATCCCTCCAAGGCCGCCCATCCACTCGCTGCCTCCTGCGCTGGCAGCTCCTGGCTCTGGCTGTGCCGGGCAGCGCGGGGTCCCCGCTGCCCCTTCCCAGCAGCTGGAGGCCTCTCCGAAGGTGCTTCTGGGCGCTGTCTGGGGACACCAGCCTGGATGCCCACATCAGGGGACAGGAGTCCTGGTCCTGGTGACTCTTCCCGTGCTCCCTCCCCTCCATCCCTCGCGCTCTTCAAGGGCTGCTGCCTCTTGGCCTTGATGAGAGCCCGAGGAGACGCCGCGGCGCGCGGGGCAGCTCGAGGCTCCGGGTCAGGCCACGTGCTTATTCTCCATCTGTGCAAGTGCAATTTGGCCCTTTGCTAACCGTAACTTTGCTTGGCAGCTTCCTCGAGGAAGTCACAGCCTGCGGGTTCCGCGGCCGCGGCGCCGAGGGCTCGCAGGTTCCTCCGAGGTCCAGCAGCAGGCGGTGAATCGGGAAGGAATTCCGGCCTCGCCGCTCCGTAGCTTCCCCGGCCTCACCGTGCAGCGCTGGAGCAGGACGGGCAGCGACTGCGTCTGCTTCGATGGCCCAGGATGAGCCCCAGGCTGCAGCACCCGCGTCGTCTTCTCGCTAACGCGGTTCCCAGCGGGACAGGCAATGGGATCCGGAACCTGCAGGAGGGCCAGGGAAGAATGTGAGGTCTCTGCAGCCCTGTGCGTGAAAGCTGGACTCTTATATGATCCTTCCTGACGTCCTGTATGAGCCCCTACCCCTAACGGCCCTGGACCAGCCTGTGTGCGCGTCTCTGGAAGGTGAAGCTTGTTCTTGAGGGCACCAGCCCTTTGCTCTGCTCAGTTGTCTGTATATTTTGAATCCTATTAAATAACCCATTTGGACCAAACTTCATGTCTACTAGGTGATTGCGCAGACCCCTTCGTAATGCACAGGCTATAGGAATGTTCTGACTCTGCTCTGTTTGCTTCCTTTTACCTTAGAAGACCAGCAGAGCTCCCTGTGCCCTTCTGCTCCACTGCTGTGAACCAAAAACAGGCCAAGAGGTGGGACCTCAGCCCTCTCCTCCTGCTAGAGGAAATGCAGGTTCCTTTTCGCCCCTTCAAGAGGAATTTACTTCCCAAGTTTCCTTTCCTTTGGACAGAGGGGCTGTGAAAGGCAGCACAGGTTGGAGTCAGTGCAGGTACTACCAGTCTGGGTGCCTGGTTTCAGTGACCACCACAAACCAGTCTCTCCCCACGCTCTTGCTTTGCCATAATTAAGCAGGGCTGAGTGTCTGCCTCCCCCAGAGCTCTGCAGAGCTGCTAGGGATGGAAAGTACTTGAATTCAGACTCATTTTTCTGGCTTAATTCCCTGCAGCAAGGTCACCGCGCGCCTGGGCGCCTGTCCATGCTGAATGTCCCCGCGGTGCCGGAGCGCTGGCGGAGACGTCCCAGCTGCGGCGCTGGGACCGTTTCCCTTCCCACCTCGGCACCACTGCGTGTTGCTTCTGGTGGGACAGACCATGGTCTTCATCTCCAGGCATGTACCCACAGCCTGTTTATCCTCCTTTAGAAGGCCAATGGAATCCTGGGCTGCATTAAGAAGAGCATCTCCAGCAAGTCGAGGGAGGTGATCCTGCCCCTCTACTCAGCCCTGCTGAGGCCACATCTGCAGGATTGTGTCCAGTTCTGGGCTCCACAGGACAAGAGGGATGTGGAGCTGCTGGAGAGAGGCCAGCGCAGGGCTCCGAGGATGAGGAGGGGCCTGGAACATCTGCCCTGTGAGGAGAGGCTGAGGGAGCTGGGCCTGTTCAGCTGCGGTCTTCATCTCCAGGCACGTACCCACAGCCTCACTATCCTCCTTGGGCTTTTTTGGGTTTCTTTTTAAGTCCACACTGTAGCTAAAACTGGACTCGCTTCAACTTTCAGCCCCTGGGTTTTGCTCTGCCTTTTCTTTAAGAGCTTTTCGTAAGGCCAGTGGGTGCAGGACCCATATTCAGGAGTATTTTAGCCCACCACCTATTTGGGGTTATTAACTTGCCTTTTGGGGGCTGTGCCACTTGCTGGATGGTGGGGCAGAGAGGTGGCTCCTGGGGACCTTCGTCCATCGGCTTAGGAAGGTTCTGGTTTCCCATCTGGAAGGAAAAGCGCATGGCATCACATTAGGGCATCTCGAACAAAAGTACCCCCCACTAAAAATCCTTCTCTAGAGGGCATTTTCTCATAGAAAAAAGATTTCTGAGCTGAAAGAGAAACAGCAGGGCCTTGGGAGGAGGTGGGAAGCCTCTCTGCGAGGCCGGTTCCTTTATGGCTCGCCTGATCCGGGGCTTTCTGCGGCTCGGCTCGCAGGAGCAGAAGGGGAGAGTCCCGGTTTTCCAAGCCCTTGTTTCTTCCCTTGGCACGGGTGACTAATGCTCCTGCAGATGGAGATTTATTGGGCCGTTGCGAAGCTCCATGCACAACGACAAGAGCCTTGCAGTTTCTTCTCTTGGCCGCAGCTCCAGGCTGTTCAGAGAGCAGGAATAGCTGGGGAATGCGGACGGAATAATGTCCCCTGCTGTTTTCCAGGGCCGCGTGCTGGAATACACAGCGCGAGCTGCTGATACGTGGAGGATGTGCCCATGAAGGACAGAAAGGGAGGCGATGCCTCTGCGTGGTGCCAAGGCTGGAAGTGCCCGGAGCTGGGCAAAGTTTGGGCACCAATGCTGCTTTTTCAGCACAAGACACAAATGCAGTGGCCCTGAAACACTGCGGAAACGGGTTCTGCTCAACTCTGGAAGGGGGTGTTTTTTTCAGTATCAAAAGGAAATATCAAAACCTTTTGAGGCGTATGAAATAAAACACTCCCCTCCCAGCTCTCCCTTTCTTTGTAACCAAAGGGTTGAGGACAGCTCGACGCCCTGCTCTTGTTTTCCCTGGTGTTTTCTGCCCCATTTCTGAGGTCGTGGATTGCAGCCTCACTGTGTCCCCATTTACCATCCCGCTACCCGCCCCGGCCCTCCTTGCCGAGGGCTTCAGAGGCCATGGGCCCCCATATCCTGCTCCGGCTCCGGCGCTGCCGTCGCGGTCCCGCGCGGGGCTTGTAGAGCTGCCCGGTTTGTTCTGCAAATTCCACCAGCAGGCTGGTTGCCTCCCCCTTCCCCATCGTTCAATTAAATATGTTCAATAATGTCCCCTGGCCTGCTGCTTGCTGAGGAGGAAATTGTCCCCTGCAGCAGGTCCCTTTCTCAGGCCATCCTGGTGCGATTATCTTGGGAGACAAGAAAATCCGTGTGTCCTAATTAAACCCAGTTCATCTGGTAAGCAGCGGTTTCACACTTGCTACCCAGAGGCGAAGGTATGTGGGGACGGGAGGGTGTTAGATACATAAACAAACTGCAAGTGGTTGTTGTTCTGCTTTTGCAGCAAGAAGATATTTCCGGAACTGTTTATTACGAATCGACACACGGTCGGGGAGCGACGCTGCAACACAGGGCCTGAGGGGAGCGAACGGACGGCCCGGGCACGGCAAGCACAGGGGGACAACCGTCCCTTTGGGTTCCCCTTCCCATTCGCTTGTGGCTTCAAAGTCCTTTCTCTGCATCTTCCACCCTCCCGTCTGAACACAGAGAGGCTTTTGTGCTCCCTGTAACAAATCGGGTGCCATGAGCCCATTAGCTCTGCTGGGACAGGAGCTGCCCGGGCTTCGCCGCGTGGCCGTGGGCACCGGCCACGCTCAGGGCAGCAGGGACCGGGAAGGGGCCTCCCTGGCCCAGTAGCCCCAGTGTGAGCAGCTCCCTGCCCAGGAAGGAAACGGGAGCTGGACTCCCTCCTATCTCCCTTCCTCCCAGATAAACTGTTCATGTTTCCAGCTCTGACTCACCGGTCACATCCTCTAGTGAGTCACGGCAGCCCGGCCTTCCCATCCGCGACGCCCCCGGCCTTTCCCAAGGGACCCGGGCATCTCCCGGGAAGGGTGCTGGGCACGTGCTGCCCTTGGCTTGCAAGTCCTCAGGCACACGGATCCCTGGGAATCTCCCAGCAATCCGGAGACACGTTGCACCCACCCAGGTCTCTGTCAGCACCGGGCTTGGCGCAGGGCCTGCTCCGAAGGGCTCTCCTGCCGCCACCAGGACGGGGCCACCTGGCACTGGAGCCTCCATGGGACCTGGAGGCCGAGTCATATTAACCTGGCGTGGGCAGGACACTGTGCAGCAAGAAACCTTGTGCAGCTGCAGCAAGGGATGGGGATGCTCAAACGTCGCCGTGGCGAGCGGGGCTCGTCCTGCTCCCCTCTTTGGGGAGAACTTGTTGCATCCTCCCTGGTGCTCCGGAGACAAACAGCGCTGTGGAAACACCGCGCGGGGAGAGGAGCGGAGAGTCCCGAAAACGCTTTGCATCCCGCGGGCCCCAGCCCCGATGGTGCTTCCCGTTTCGGAAGGCGTTTGCAGCACATCCCGCGTGTTCACCGCGGGGTCGAGGCTGCAGCCGGCAGCGCGGCGGGGACAGAGCAGAGCTCTCCCCTCGGAGCGCGCGG